CATTCTCGTGCAAGAATTATGATCATTCTGTTTTTAATTTAAGATTTAATATGTAATTTTTATATATATATATGTGATATATTTAATTTAATTATATTCTACAAAGATATCTACATATTTAAACTCTTATGTTCAAATTACAAGATTACCAAGTTAAATTTTTCTATATCGTTATTTTAAGTCAATTCTATATAGTGTCACTAATATTACTATTATTATCAATATTATTATTAGATACTGATAACATGAATATCATACTATCAAGCTGTTTTCATTAAAAAATAAGTTTCTTTAATGGCAGCTTACTGAAATTGTTTTGCTTTCATTTAAATCTATACAAGTAACAACATGGATCATTCTATTTTAAATCAACAATGTTTACAGAAATTTATTATTACACAAAAATTTTATATGGAAAAGTTGAAAGGACGTAAAATGGACGTAAGTTGCCATCCATGAGAGCACTATTTTCATAAATTTTAATTTCTGTGTGGACAAAAGCATTAATTTACAATCTATGCATGTATCTATTTATCACATATAATATGTGCTATATACCACAAAAATCGAATTCTAGATTCTAAAATTTTCTCACTATTATAATAATAAGGATATATTTTCGTATGCGAAAATTCGTATAGTATGTAATTAGATTGTATAGGAACTGTCATATAAAAATATTTCAGTATACATGACTTTCGCAAATAGAATCGTAGATTTATCAAAATAAGAGCATTGTATATGTCATAAAATGCTTTGTCAGCTCTTTATGGTCTCCCGATTATGTTTAAACCTAAGAATTATTAATGTTTAAACCTAAGAGATGATACCTGAGGCCAAAATACTTATATTACATTATATGCATTTTTAAACTGAGGAAATTTACGAAGTTTCACAATTTGCCTTCCAAAGTGGGCAGTATTAATCATGAACTTTTTATCAATAACAATCTCCTTCAGTCCTAATATATAATCATCAATTATAATTTATTAACATTTTTGTGAGTATTGAATTCAGATTAAAAAAGAAAGTTAAAAAAATCGTATGGTTTCTTTGACATAATTAATAATTATATATAGATGTTATAAGCATTATATGTAAATAGAATTTTCTTATGAAAATGACTTTACAAAGAAATTTTTGTTCTCTAAAAATAAAATATATTGATGTTAAAACAAATTTTTATTTCATTGTTTATATCATTAAGACAATTATTGGGTCTATTTTAATGCATCTCGGACTATGTTACTAAGAAGATTTACCGTAAAACCTCGTAAACTTTCACTGCCTATCTATTATGTATAATACATAGATAAAATATTGCAGTTTCGTTATATGAATATCTTCATTTCTATTGCGAAAATAAAAATATAAAAAATGAATATAAAATGGTAACACAAAATGGTTTGTATACAATGTGTTTTTATCTAATGAAAAATGTAATTAATTTTTAATAAACCATTGTTATTACCAAACGTCAGTTTAAGCCTCTGAGATTCTATGCACAAGACTAGGCATGATAAGCATTTGGACAGAAATTCATATTTCAAATTGACTATTCTTATTCGTTTGGTATTATGTATTAATAGATTGAAACTAATACGATCATAACGATTGTATCAAGTTATCTATTTGGTAACTTATGTATGTATCTATGAAAGATTTTAATCCTCCAAAAACAAAAATTCTTTTAATATTTTTTAAATAAAAGTTTTTACTGAAAATATATTGTTTATGTTGAACTGTAACACAATTAAATCTATCAGAAATTCGTTTTTTCCTATCCCCCACTTTTAGTTTCCTTGTACACCATATTTAGGAAATAATATAATAGACATAATTATAAATTGTTTTAATCTGCAAGGAAGAAAAACCTGATATTCTTATATATCTATAATCTACGATAGAATTAATATCTGCGTGATTACAAATGCAAATGCACATTATGCAAAAATATATAAAAATCTGTTATTTCTTATATATAAATATTCTTATATATAACCTTTAGTGATGCAATAGTAAATATATACTCACTGAATCAAGATGGGTGTGCTCAGTTCAAACATACCTCTGATAAAACAATTTTCTCTTCCATATTAATCAAAATGTGTATGGCCATTTCCTGAGGTGTTAGATTCTTCACATAACTTCTCATTCTGTTCATATGTATATTTTTTTTTTGGAATAGTGCATTCCAGCGATGGCTTAACTCTAGTCAGTGGAAACTTAGTCAATAAAAAATTAGATATATAACAAAACAGCTTGCACAAAGTGGGACATAATATTAATTGATGAGTTACTGCCCATAATCGATAATTTTGACCTTCAAATGGATCCAAAACAGCTGCACATAACATGTGACTAAGATTCACCTGTACAGGCTGCAAAGAACAAATAATATTGAAAAAAAATAGATTTTCAAAAGATTAATTATGACATCTAGATAACAAAGTATGATGTACAAACCAAGGCAACACTTTGAACAATCCAAAAGTGATATCCTACATTAAGGCCATAACTGAGGATTGACCAGCTCATATCAGATAAGGGCTCAATATTATATACACCTAATGGAAAGAATAGCACAGTATTATCCATCTACTCTATTATTTTATTCAAACACATAATTACCTCCAATCCTCAATAAATAATATGGTATTATAAGCATCAAACCATGCTGAATATAGTACAATGCTTTGTCTGCAAATATCTGTAAAAAAATCTCATTTAAAAAATTTTATTTTACATAATATATTTAATTACATAATTATGAACTTACAATGCGAGACTCTGTTTCTGGAAATAGATATGCTAATACCGGTCCATTCAACAGATTCAAATGTATCCTAAAGATAGCAGTGACCATTGGACTAGGATCCGCAGCCAGCAAATACAACTGTTTTGTATAGAAAATATAGTAAACATAGTAAAAGTTTGTTAATTCGATTTGTAAGAAATAAAATTTAATTATTACACCAATATAATTCAAAAAAGCTTACCTGTAATGCTGTTGTAATATGACAAGGATTTAATAGATATATAACAGTTCTGCTGGTGAATTTAAAACCAATTTCCATCCCCAGGACCAATGACATCATAATCAACAAGACTCTCCTGCCTACACGGTCTTGACCAACGTAAGGTAGTTTCTTTGGCAAAGTTATTCGTTTGAGACCCCATATGATACAGGATATGATAAATACAGATATAAACAAAGTTTCTATTATCCGTCGCTTCAGTGTTAAATAACTTGCGCATTCCGGACCGACATTGCGTGGTATAGAGCGATTCACACCACCGTATGCCCACTCGAACATTGCTCTAAATTATAACTTCTCCTTCGGAACTGAAACGGAACAAACAATTGTTCTCATAATCTACAAGTCTTTTACTGCCTGCAGTCATAATTCATGATGAGCAAAATAATCAAACAACTTTAGTCGAGTCACTCAGTTATTTTTCTTAACATAGAAATGAGAAAGAGATCTTTTAAGTTTAATTGTAGTAAAAGACCGTTTTACGATAAATATGTTTATCTAAATCCTGAAAAAAATGTGTTTTTTAATATTAAATAAACTTCAATTATCTCATATTATTTAATATCTTTTGTCTTTGTTACAAATTATATTTAAACATGTTTATGTTGTTCAAAATTATACTTTTATAATTTTGCCATCTTTTTTATTTATATATTTTTTTACTGAAGATGACTAATGAGAATCGAAACGTATAGCATTATTTAAATTATTGTAAGATTAAAATTTATTTATTAGCACTAAAACATCCTGCATTGACTCGCATTCTTTATCATTTAAGTTCTTTATCTTTTGTTTTTTTATAATTTTAAATATCGAAAACGTCTTTGCATTTGCGTAGTGCTTACGAATTGATAACACGTTTTCGAAACTGGTTAAAACTAGTTTTCGAAACTAATTATAAATACATTCTGACCACCACTTAGAATTAGTCATTATACCCACTTTAATTATTTACAGATATTTTTACACAGAAATCTTTTGGACAAATACAAAAACTGAATTCCATAACAATAACATGGCATCAAATGTTTAAAAAAAAATATATTTAAGCAAAAACTTTCAGAGTCGGAGTAAAACTCTAGTTCTTGTGCTCAAAAGTTTCTAGTCTTCGATAATTTTTCTCTCTAAACTTGACATAGTGAAGAAAAAAAATATCGAAATACACAGCTAATGAAATAAAAATAATGTTTTGTTTCATGTAAAACGAGAAAGAATTATGAAGCCGTATTAATTAACGATCAGTATGTTGCGGCAAGTCGAGCAAGGTTAGAGTTCAGCGAAAGCCAAAGGACGTACGACGCTTTATTGATCTCGACGTCCAATTATCAATCATTCGACATGCACGATTGCGGTACCTTAAAACAAAAGGTGTCTTTCGCCTCAATGGAATCCGTGCTTGAGTAATAATACCTGCACTATACACTAAAATAAAAACAATTCAGAACATCGGAATGTCAATAGACTTGACTCCATGAGTTCGAAACCCCCCCTCCTGCTCCCTTCAACGAATAGAACATCGATTGGTTGACAGCGAACATACGAGGCAATATCGTTAGCTGGCTCCTAGATGGCGGCACCTTCATAAAAAATGTACTGTGTTTGTATTATACCTTTCTGCACTTTCGATTTATCGATTTATTTTAGGCCTGTTCTTTTTGGACTAAACTTTTGCACCAGTTCATCTTTCTTTCTTTTCTCTCTAGGAGGAAAGAAGAGGAAAAAATGGACTGGTGCAAAAATTCAGTCAAAAAGAACAAACCTATTGTATTTACATTAAGCTTGTGTTGCTTGAAATTCTTCAAAAATTTTGAATTTAAAATTAAATAAAAACATAATTAAAATAAAATTAAACAAAATATGACTATAACAAAATATAACAAATCACACATCTGTTAATTAAGAATAGTAAATCAGAAAATATTAAAAAGTTTGTATATATATTTACAAGTTCTTAAAAAAATTATACACATTTTTTATAATTAAAGAAATTTTGAAAATCACAAAATAATTTTAATTTTTTTAATTATGTTTTTAAATAATTATTTTTAAATTAATGAATTAATCCATTACATGTTTAGATTTGCTATTTTGAAAAACTTAAACCCACACAACCCACACAACAAAGTTTTGCGAAAAACATCTTGGAAACGTCTTTAAAAATTCTTAGGACAACTCTAGAAAAATTATTATTATTATTTAGGACTATTATTGTTTAGGAAAATACGTTAGCCGAATATTGCATTTATATTTTGTTTGTATCAGAAACAGAATCGTGAAAGCTCAATTTATACATATTATACATACATAAATATATAAGTAATAATAAAATAAGGAAAAAATTAATTACAATTAAACTTAATTATAAATTATTTAAAAATGTACTATATATATATATAATCTAAAAAATTATTTATATTTCTTCTTGTATTTGCTTAGACATGAAATCTTTATATATTCAAAACTTTAAACTTTTAATTCGGTAATGTAGATCTACACACAATTAAATAACGTAATTTTTGTGTAGTTTAAATTGTATAAAAATATATGATATAAAAGAAAAAATATATTTTTTCTCAGATTATCTCGTATAATTCACTTGATACGAAGTTTTTGATTTCGATGTACTATTATATATTTTAACAATAAGGGCCGATTTTACTAATGCCATTAACTTAACGGTCGTTAACTGACCAACCGCATTTGCTGTTTAGTAGAATTGACCAATTATGATTGACAGTTAATCCCGATTAGGATTAATCGATTGATGAAATCGGTCCTAAGTATTACATAAACGATTTTTAGTTTTTGATTAATTTTTATATTTTTGAATTTAATAGAAATGTAACCAGATGAAAAACATTTATTTATGAATTTACAAGATAATATAAATTTTAGAATAAAAATGAATCTGCGTTCAATAAAAAAAGCAGCTTTGATAAACATTTTATGCTAATTGGATATACCACCGACAAAATACTATTAAAGACCAACATCCTTACGGAAGTTGGCATTCTTGTGAATATTGAAGTAATTAAGAGTTAAAAACTAAAAATATTGTACTAATTTTATGATTTATTAGTTTAGTGGACATTTAGAACTCAATAATACTCGATTTTTCTTTAAAATTATGATTTCAGTGCTATCATCAAAGTTTGATTATTAACAGAAATAATAACTACAGAGAAAAAATTGTAATTTTTCTGCAATATATAGAAATTATAGCTTTATAAGTATGCCTATTTATTTATGGAACATTTATGTAATACAAAATCATGAATTTAATAATGTATGAATCAAATATTTATGTTAATAATAGCAAATTTATATTAATTGTCGATAATGTCAGCGTTCTTCAATTACCTCCGGGCTCTTTTTATACCATCAAAAATTTTCCCAGAGTTGACAGTCTTTAATATCTCGTCGATGGATATACATAATATTGAGAAAAACCGTTGACTTGTTTAATAGAATAGAAGATTAAATCTATGCGGTTGGTATAAGCGATCTACGTTGGTACATTGTCATTTTACGCGATGTCACGTGACGCATCTGACGATTAGTGATAAACGCAGGCGCGAGGTTGAAATTTGAACAAGAACATTTTTTTATACACAAATACTTACATATCGATAAAAATCTCTACAGAAAACGTCCAGGATAACATCGACAATTATCATAGCTTGTTGAAAAGTGTGTAGAAAGCATCTGATTCTTATCGCAAATCCAAATTATTCGTATCTTAAATTACTGTACACCGAAAGGGCGGGAACTTTGCGCGCGCAAGTGTAGCCGCCATGACAGTTTCAACGGCGCGAGCCGAAGCACGGAGACGTAGTTGCTCCGCAATTAATCGCCGATTTCACCTATCAAAAATGCGTAGCGAGCTAGAATTTCTGCTGGAAATAGTGACTAGGACGATGGGCGATTGCCAGAGAATGTCGGTTGTCGTGGATCTTCGTCATCATTGCCATTTCGTCCATTACGATCGGTCACACGATACGGGTGAGTATAATATCCCGGTGCTGTAGATACGCAAGATGGTCTGTGTCTTCTTACGAGAGAATTGAAATTATTAGCATACTTTTTTTCCACTGAATGCTGCATATTAGATATTCCAATTCTAAGAATATCACTCGTACGTTTGTTGCTGTTTTCATCACTGGATGCGGTGTATGTCAATAAAGCTTGTATTTGATTACATTTGAATTGTTTGATATAAAAAAAGATGTGATCCAACTAAAATGATTGATTCTTTTATCGTCGTGCACGTTAATTATTTATATCTTAAATTATTTTAATATTAAAATGGCAACATTACGCACATTATGATATTTTCGACATTTGGAATGCGATCATTTTGCAAGAAATTGCAAATTTTACCCGTTAAAAATATGCTCGAATTTTTAATTATTTAATTATTTTTATTATTAATTATTTTTAACTATTTTTCCAGGTACCGTACATACAGAATACAGTGATGGATGATGGCCGGAACGAAGCAGTTATCGCGGATTATTCATCGTTTCTGTCATATCAACATTGTTCGGTAGTTATCAACAGTATTGTATGACACCGCGATGTCGGTGAGTATAAGCTTCAATGCTACTTACACGCAAAAATAATTAAGTTTTCTTGAAAAAATTGAAGCAATTAACATACTTTTCGTTAGGTGTAGCATTAGAAATACCAATCATTGTAACAATATATATGAAGCATATTTATTATGCTTAATATAAATATTGCTACTGGATATAATATATTGTGGGAGTTTTCCAACAAGACACATTTATGACAGTGCTATGTCTCCAAGAGATGGCAATAAGTTGTATGCGATAAATCAAAGCTTGTGCACTAGGTCTACAACTTAAGTCTCTAAGTAAGTTATGACAATTATTGTGCTCAGATCCTAAGAATGCTATTTTATTTATGCGTTTTGTTGTACGACAAATGTGTACAGAACAGAGAGGTCTTCGGATCTCTCTATCCCATAGCCAATCAACAGATTTGAAAAATTTATCGTAGGACACACAAATGAAATATACCATAACACTGTGAATCATTGCATTTGTTGTTTGCCAATGTTAAACAAAGATGAAATGATCACTGTGTACCTTGTTGGAAAGCTCCATGTATTGATAAAGTGCAAACGTTTGTCAGTTCCCTCAAGTGAACTACGTGCGATCGTAGCTAGATATAGCTTATCATTTATATGAGAGATAAAGATGTCATGTGTATCAATTCCATCAAATAAATCTCATGCAACCATAGTATTACTTGTATAATCAATTTGAATGTGAACTTAATGAAAATATTTATACATAACTCAATTGAATATATAATATATGTAATTTTATTGAAATATGCAGAATTGATAATACTGAAAAAAAAAAACAGATAATCGTCATATTATGCGCACAATCTATATTAAATTTGAATACCCTTGAGGCTTCTAAACGCAATTCTTGATTTAAGAATAATATTGAAGTACTATTGCGCATCTAATGGAAAGTTTATCATTGAACATAATAATCGGCCACAATTATATGCACGAAACGCGTTATGGCACTAAGTACGTTCTGTTTCATGTTCTCTGTTTCATGTATTGCAGAAATTTATGTTCTTCGGAAATGATGTGCGTGGCAGATATCGAATATCATTGGGTAGTGAGCGTAATTAACTGCTCATTTCTGGTATTCGTCCTTTCCTTGATGAAGTTTGTTTCTAAGACGTAATTTGCAACGGATGGAGTAAACTACAATATTCCAGTGGGTAAACAAAATTAATTATGCATTTATTTAAATATGTACAGAATCGTAATAATACGTATACTGTCCCTATAATGATTATTTGTTTTAACACAGAAAAATATGTTTGGTTGAATTAACTAGAATTTTGATGGAAAATGATCTAGAATTTTAGTTAAATTTACAAGATTTCTGGTTAAATTTATTACAATTGTAGTTAAAATAACCAACATTTAGATTTAATTAGAAATCTAGTGGATTTAACAAAAATTCTAGATCATTCATTTTCCACCAGAATTCCAGTTAATTCAACCAAACATTTTTTTTCATGAAGTATGTGTTAAAGAATTTACATATATTATGGAAGAAGAGAATTTTTATTAAATTTTTATTAAAATTGCTATAATGAAGAAAGATGATATTAATTAACAATGTCAATAATATTTATAAATTTTACAATTTGTAAAACATTTCCTGTTTTTTTCTGATTTTATTTTTATCTACTCTCTCTTTGCAGTTCTTATTTAATTATTTATAAGTATTTGCAATTGAAAGTTCAAATGATGGTAAAATTTATGTACAAATTAGAATTGTGAAAATATTAATAAGTCATATATGTGCGTTTAAATAGCAAATTTATAAATAATTTATTAATTAAGTGAACATGCAATAACCATTTTCGATAACAATGGTTAATAATTATATGAATATTAGAAATAAAAATAACTGA